CCCTGGGGCATAGTGAGTAGGCACCCTATCTGCAAAAAAAAAAGTCACAGTTGTCATCTAGCAACTAACTCCTCTGGAATCCCAGATTACAAAAGACTTTCCTTGAGATTTGCTGGCTTGAATAAACCAGATTATTCCCCTTCCCAACTTTCTCTGAATCCCAACTATTCTACCATGCACAGGAATGTAACAAAATTCTTCCCAATCTCCAAGAGTCTGTCCCAGGCCAAACTACGGAATGAGGTGACTGGAACCTGAAAGTAGTTCTTGGACAGTGAGTCCCCAGCTCTGCCAGGGTTCCTATCACTGCAACCACATCCCCTGCAATGAAATTACCTCCTTCCCTGTCTGAAATGTTCCCCCTTCACTCTGAGCAGAAATAGTAGAAAATGCTAAGTACATCCTTTGCAACCAAACATCATTTAATGAGGACATGAAGAGTGAATTGCTTTGTCCCCAACAGAATGGGTATTTCATGCACCTCTTTGGGCCATTGAGGACACAGCCAATGGTTATTCAAAGTCAACACCAGTGCTAAAAATATTAGCTTATGAACAGGTAATCTCCTGGGGACAAGAGGAATAACAAGTGGACAGCACGCTCTCGGAAGAGGGGAAGAGAGTTCTGCAAGATAAATGGGGAGTTGAGAAAATGTAAAGACATAAACAACAAAAGACAATAAGGATTGTGTTCAGCTAATGAACACCAAATTCAGAAATCAGAGGAAAATAGGAAACCAGGGCTAGTAGGGGACAATCGGAGTAAAATTAGACAAGAGCTCCTACATTGATTCTGAGGAGTCCAGGCTTCAAGGACATTGCTTGTCCAGTATACAAGGGACACTGAGGGGCAGGCAGGGCTCTGGCTTCAAGTGAGTATTTAAAAAAAAAAATAGAAGGAAAGATCTATCAGTGAACCAGGGATTTTACCTAAGGCTGAGCTTCACAAGAAGCCTAGAAAGATCCTAACAAGGGTGTTCCTAGGATTTGACACCTGAAGTCAAGGTCAGAGCTTCTCCTGTTTATATGGGCATAGTTTGCCAAGAGCACCCATTCAGTGGGTAAGGGGCTGAACTAATTATCTTCTAGAATCTCATCTAACACTGAGTTTTTATAAGCCTAAAATTCCTAACGTGGAAGAAAAAACATTTCTTCCATTCCAGGCATCTGTCTGAAGGTGCTGCTGCTGATGGATTTATTCCCCACTGTAGGTGGAGTCATAACTGACACACTCAGACTTCTCAGTAAAGATAGGTCATGTAGAGGCTATCACCAATCCCTTAGGAAGGATATGGAGGGAACTCTTTTGAGGGGTGAGAGTGGGAGTTTGAGTTCAGCAGGGGGGTTGAACTCAAAGCATCACACTTGCTGGGCAGGCATACTACCACTTGAGCCACTCTTTCAGCCCTTTTTAAAAAACAAATTACATTGGTTATTTTTGAGATAGGGTTTCACTTTATACCTGGGCCAACTTGGACTGCAATCCTCCTGTTTGTGCTTTCCCACAGAGCTGGAATGACAGGCATGTACCATCATGCCCAGCTATGGGTTGAGATGGGGTTTTGAGAACTTTTTGCCCTGGCTAGCCTCCTACCACTATCCTCCTGATCTCCACCTCTGTAGTACCTAGGATTATAGGCATGAGCAACCTCACCAGGCCCATGGAGAGAACTCCATGCCAGAGGCAAGACAGCATCTTTACATTCTGATGGCAGCAGCGATGGCAGAAGACAGTTTTGTCACTCTGGGGAAGATGATCTAAGGATGGTGATGATGGTTGCAGTGACTGTGCCTCCCAGTGGAAGCCAGGTCAAAGCCTTTGAATGCAGTGAGTACTACAAGCCATACAGTACACAACAGCAACACACCAAGTGTCTACCATTCATATGGAAGTCATGGTGCGTGTACCTGTGCATTATATGCACAGTTGTAATGTTTGCCATGGAGTTCTCATTAGGTGGGAGTAAAGCATCCTGAGGAATGGGTGCCTTTTCTAGCTAGCAAGAACACTGTAAGGGCTAACTGTGGCCAAGTCCAGCCCTTTGGGGCCTTGGCTTCATGTTGCAGACAGGACTGCAGGACAGAGGTGTCATCCCTGTATGAGGTTCAGCCCTTCTGGGCATTCCCTGAACCAAATTTAAAAAAAAAAAAAAAAAAAAGCACTACCTGAGGATCTTTCTAAAATGCCCATTGTGTAGTAATCTGACAATGAACATCAATTATTTGAGCATGCAGGGGTTGGGGATCCAGACTCCAGCACTTTTCAAACCCTGCCCTCAGTTTGAAAAGCTAAAAAACCTGCAAATTTGCATGTAATCAAGTAAGTCCCAGTAGAGACGAGCATCGGATTTTGTTGGCATAACAAGGAATCATTCATCCCCTAGGTGTAAGTAATATGACCTGGTTCTTAGAATGAGCTGTTTCCTTGCGAGGCCTTAGAAATACAGAGAAAGCCTCCAAAAAAGTAGGGGAACCCATTCTGATGGTATCAAGGAAAATTCTGAAGTCAAGGCAGCCTGCCTACAAAATACACCTCCACTCCAAATAGCCATGAGTCACAATGGCAAACACTGTTAAAGGACACCCCTTAACAAGACCGACTTCTGAATCAACCTGGGGCCCAGCAGGATTAAGCACACTGTGAACAATTCAAAAGACTACATTAATCATATCCCAGGAGATGAGTCATTGTGCTTCCCAGCCAATGAGGGAGCCCCAGCTGTGGCAAACACAGTCTAATTGGTTGAGGGCAGAGCAGGATTCTCTTCTCAGGTAAACAACCTGAAACCAAGACTTTGCAGGAGCACATGCCTCTGGGAGAGTGTTTGGAGCCTCTACTGAGCTCTAAGAACTACCCAATTTCTTAACTGCTCCCAAGACACTGGTTAGTCAAGACTTCAATGCACCCAGGAGACAAAGTGAGTAGCAGGCATACAGCTGGAACCCTCAGAGGCAAGCAAGACTTCTCTTGGCTTCTCCCTCCCCTCCCTTTGTGTCCAGGAAACAAAGCACTGTCTTCCCTCCTCTACCCCACCTCGGTATCAGGTTCTCTGCTTGAAAATCTTTTCTACACTTCCCACTTCATATGGATAAATGAGATTATTCCTTTGTACTCTGAGGATGGGGAACATTTGTCAAGCACTTACTTTGTGCTGGCCTGTGTCTGCAAAGTAAAGTGAGATAAAATAAGACACATTGTTTATTTCACCATTGCCTTGAAGAGCAGGAGAGAATGAGCTGGAACATTATATTTGGAAATAAAAGAAAGAAAGAAATGATTTTAAAAATCTCTCCAACTTATTACTGTACATAGTACCCCAAGTGTGTTCAATTTGAAATTCGTCTAGGTTGATAAGAGGTCCTAAAGGAAAAGCTGGCTTTTGCCACTTACCCACCTGGGTAACCTTCCTAACTTTAAGCTGTCTCAGCCTCCCAAAAGGAAATGGGTTATAACTGGGAGGAAAGAAGAACAAGAATTAATTTGGAAGCCTACATCTAAAGCACTGTGTGTGCCAGGGCTGCAGCTCCCCACACCCCACTCCCGCTCTCAAAGTTTGGCACTCAGAGGGGACACACAGGACAACAGAACTCCAGGAGTCACATAATAATAACAGCAATAATGGTTTGTACAGTTGACTGCTACTGTGATAAACACTCGGCCCAAATTACCTCTATCTTATTCCTCCTAACAGCCCTGGCAGGTACTGTTCCTAGTTCTGTTTTGCATATGTAGTAACATAGGCTTGCTCAGAGTTACAAAGCCAGTAAGTAGCCTCACCCAAACCCAACCTTAGCACAGAGGTAAGAGAAACTCAAGAGGCTATTGAGGGCAAACTTCAGACATTTCAAACTGAAAGAAAGAGGAAACTGCCCATTCTACACAAAAGCACCTCCTCTGGGGGCTGGACTCAGCCTGCCTGCTAGTACAGTACTGGGCTATGTGCCAGGTGACACAGGCCATTAGGACTAGCTAGAGGACCTAGCATCATTGGAAACTCAAGGGGAAAAAAAAAAAAACTTTTGGAATGTATTTGTTTACAAGTTAGAAATTGTCTGTGTTAACAATCTAGGCAGCTGGATTTAGCATCAACCCAGAATAGTTTATTGAGCCTGACATACTCCTTGGTTCAGAAGTTCAAGTTGTTTCATGAAAATAAAGAAGACTTACTGGATGAGTAACCAGCTAATAATGAAGCTTTCTCATGCAAAGGTGAGGGGAGGGTGAGTGTGTGTGTGTGTGTGTGTGTGTGTGTGTGTGTGCACGTGTGTGCATGTGTGTGTGTGCACACGTGTGCATGTGTGTGTGTGTGCGTGTGCACGTGTGCATGTGTGTGTGTGTGTGACCTTGTTTCTAGAATAGGAGAGAGCTTGGTTTCTCTACTTATGTGCAAATTTGGGTGAATCAGATTTCTACAAGTGAAGGATTCTTACAATCCTTAGATAATACCACCTAATTTGTATTCATCTATCCATTGCATATTTTTGAGAAATATTATATACTGTCTCTCAACCCAGGCAACAGACACATACAATAAAGAGTTTAAGAACTAAAAGAATCTTGTAAAGCCCAACTCATGAAGGAAGAAAAACCTGGACAGCCCTTTTTTGCCCTCCATCATGTAAAGACACAGCAGGAATGCCCTCAACAGATGCTGAACACCAGCACCTTGAACTTGAGTTTCCCAGCATCCAGAACTGTAACAAATACATTTCAATTACCTAGTCTCAAGTAGTTTTTACAGCAGCACAAACGGACTCAGATATTCATTAGCCTAGACCCATTTTTAGAGTTCACAACCAAGAAAAGTATTAGAGTTGACCAAACTCTAGCTACAGTTGGTTTTCAGCAGGAAAAGGGCCTATGAAACCTCCACATTCAATAGCCAGAGGGAGCCACAGGTAGATCCATTTCATCTCCAAAGAGATAGCACAGGTAGATCCATTTCTTAACTGCAGAAGTCACACACCATTCAGACCAACTCCGGGCTAGGCCGTACCCACCTTCTGCATTTCCCCAGAGGAGCTGTTGCAGGGTCTGCTGGGAGAGGATGCCCTTTTGCACCACTGCTCCCCACTGCTGAGGGCCCAGGAGTTAGCAAAATCATAAGGATCCGAGGTCAAGGTCCCTGTGGAGCAAAGTTTCAGGAAAATTATGCTTCAGTTATTTCTGTCCCAGGACTTCTAAGCAAAAGTTCTAGGCCTGTTGTTACTGGGATCAAACTTTCATTAGATGAGACCACAGACATTTGGGGTGGGGAGCACCTTCCCTACAGTGCTTAGCATGACACCATAGGGCATCAGAGCTAGCAAGTGTTTGTGTTTGTGTTTGGTGAGTGATGGACAGACAAATGAGTCAATACACTGAAGGAGATGACATGAAAGATGATGAGGAATCTGCCATCCACCATCACTTCTCCATGCCTTTGAATACCCTTCTCCCTCTGTATGGACCATTCTCCTTCCCTCTGTTGCCTTGTCTATATCCATTCATTCCCCCAGATGTAGCCCACAAACCACTTTCTCCAGGGAGTCTTTCTTATCAACCCTTTTCCTTTCCCTCATCCCAGTCTGGATGGGTGTGCCCATCCTCTGTGCTCCCTCAGGAGACTCATCTCCCTTGGGGTTATATTCTTGTTGGTTATATTTATCCCCCATTTATCCATGAGCTCCTTAATTATAGGCATGGTCTATGCCTCTCATCTCTCCATTCTTATGTGGTGATTTGTGAATGCTCAGAGCACTTTTGTGTAGTGAAGTAAGGATGTGACATGGATCCTAATCCTCCATCATTGCATATGCCAATATTTCACAGCATCTAAGCTATAGTGCTTGTAGCATTTATGCTATTGTCAGCTACCACAGTAGACTGAGGGCCTCATGGTGCAAAGGAATTGCCTAATAACCCTGCTGAATTTTTATTACAAAGATAGTCTGGGCTTTCTACCTTTGTAGTATTGGGATAAACAGTCCTTTGGTAGAAGATTGAAGCATATTTCAAGGTCAAATAACACACACGGGAATAGGAAATAAAATATCTGTAGGGGAAAAAAATGAAAGTGAGGCCTTGAAATATAGTCAGTTAATATCTAGGGTTTGAAGGCAGAAAAAAAATTCCCTGTCAAAGATATATTTGCTTAGTAATCCCTGGGACCTTTATTATTATTTTCCATGGCAAATGATGTGATTAAGGCAAGGATCTTGGGAGGCGGGATTCTCTGGGATTGTTTGGATGGGCCCTAAATGCAACCAGGTATATTCTCATGAGACGAGGTGAAGAGCTCAGATATAGATACATGGAGAGCAGAAGGCAAGAGGAGACAGAGGCAGAGATGAGAATGGTCCCTCCACAAGTAGAGATATGCCTGCAGGAGCTGGAAGAGGCAAAGGCCAGATTCTCTCCTGGAGCTTATGGAGGCAACACAGCCTGCTGACAACTTTATTTTGTATTTCTGGCCTGCAGAACTGTGACAGAGTAAATTTCTACTGTCTTAAGTCACCAAGTTTGTGGTAATTTGTTGGCAGCCACAGGAATTAATACATGAGAGAAATCAAATGAAAGAGAACTAAAATTTATGGGGTGTCCACCATGTGCCAGGCACTACTGTAGGTGACTTATGGTACCCAGTCACACCATTCCACACAGGCATGGACAATCTCTAATAAATCATCTTAAGGAAGAAGTAGAAAAGAGGTCTCATGTGGATAGGAAAGTGTCTTCCATTACCTTATATGATCTGGGCTAATCCCATAATCTCAGGAAACCCAATTCCTCACACATATGTGAGGGGTTAGACTAGGTGACCTCAAAGATTCTTTTTAGCCTTAACCCTTTATAAAGCAAAATTTTAAGGGCTAAATCTAAAATGAGGCATAGGGTGTCCAATAGATGAGATTACAAACATTCTTGTTTAGAGAAAACTCTTTGAGAGCCAGAGTTAAAGCTAAGTTAGGCAGATTCCCAGAAAATGAAGTTAATAGTTTGGAGACAAATATTGTTGTGTCTTTATAAACCAGAGAACTGAGCAGGACTAAATCATCCTCTGAGGATGATTTCCAAAATACCACCGGAGATTTGATTTTTTGCCAATGAACACTACCTTCTTCCCCATAACATAGGTTCCATTTTTAGTTTTTTAAACTGCATATCCTAGAATAAGAAAGAAAGATGTTTTAGGGCCAGGACTTTCATTTCTAACAATGTAGCAGGTTAGAAAAATCTGAAAACTATACCACTATATGAACAAATATTCTATCGAATCCATGGCTGACCTCAAGAAAAAAAGTAGAGGGAATTCTAAGAGATGAAAAGAAGGAAGAGGGAAGGAAGGCAGCAGGGAAGGATAAGGATAGAAAACTGAAAAACAAAACTGGCAAATCTTCTGGCTACAGTCTTAGAGTGAAAGTGTCAATCTTTACAACCAAGGAGCTTGGGTTTTTAATAACTCTATTGAGTTGGGAATGACTCTAGGACCTGGATGATGTAGGGTGGGAGTGGACCAAGGTCACTATAGTGAAGTTGAGGCTTGTAAAGGATACCATCCATGAGTAAGTTAACAAGAAAAAAAATCCCCCCTGAGAAACAAAGGCTCTAAAAGGAGGGGAAAAATGTCTCCCCTGAAAATTTGTAGTGGTGTGAAAAAATTCACATAGCTTTGAGATTCAAATTTATGTTTATTATAAGATTCAGTAAGTCTGGATTGAAAATTAACACAAAACCCTTCTAAAGATGAGCTCATAATCCAAAATTATGAAATATAGGAAACAATTTATTAAAAGTTAGCAGACTCCAAATTAGCAGGATTAGAATTCAAAACCTTTAAATAATGATATTTTTATACAATAAAATTTGTATTTTATACAAATACATTTTAAGTTATTATTATTAGGAAGAAATCAAAACTTGAAAAGAGAGCAAGACAGTTAGAAAAATGATAGAGTAAAAAAAAAAACCATGTACCTTCTAAACTACAAATAAAGCCAATGAAATAAAGAGAACTCTCAATTGATGGGGATAGATATCACCTGCAGATTAGACAAATTTGAGAGAAAATTAGTAAGCTAGAAGATGGATCTAAGCAGTGATGTGCTGAGGAACCAGTTCTCCAGAATAAGCAAAGCCCTGATATGTAGCACTTGCCAGTTTCCCTGGTGTAAATACTCCTACATGGCTACCATCTAGCTACCCACATGATGTTACTGAATGTGGAGCTGGGAAGAGATACATGCATGTGGTTGTGTGTGAGCACAGCACTTGATCCAAGCAAACCACCTGAACCAACACAGAAGGTTAAAGAGATAGAAAAAAATGGAGTAAGGTGAAGAGAAAAAAGGAATGAAATAAAAATATCCAACATATGTATAATAGTTACAGAAAAAGAAAAAAGTGACTGAAAATTTTCTAATTCTGATAAAAGACCAAAACTCAGGAATCAAAATCTTGTTAAGAATAATAAAAATGAATCCCACATGTTGATACAACACAGTGAATACATTATTCTGAAAAAAAAAACACCAAAAATTAAAAACAACGACATCCACAAAAATAAAAGGTATATTATCTGAAAAGAAATAGCAATAAGACTGACAGCATCTCAATAGCAAGAATAGAATAGCAGGGCGTGGGCATGGCTCAAGTGGTAAACTGCCTGAGTAGCAACCACAAGGCCCTGAGTTCAAATCCAGTACAGCCAGAAAAAAAATGGAGTCCCATCCTCAAAGTACTATGTGAAATAATTGTCATTATAGAATTCTATACCCAGCTAAAGTATCATATAAGAACAAGTGGATGGGAGTGTGACTCAAGCAGTAGAGCACTTGCCTAGAAAGAGCAAGTCCTTGAATGCAAACTCCAGCGCTGCCAAAAAGCAAGGAAAAAGAATGAAAAAGTGTTTGTTTCAGTTGTCACTACCTGAATGAACTACTGAATGACCTTTATTACGAAAATAGAAATTGAACACAGAAGAGAAATTATAAGTGACAACTATTAAACATGGAGGCAGATCTAAACAAGCTCTGATTTTGTAAAACTAAAATAACAATGTTAAATTTGCTGGTTATCCAAACAAGGTAGGGGAGAGAATGAGGGACAGAGGGGAAAAGGTCACATAGTAAAGGAAGTAGTACTAGAAAGCACAAAATACGATGGTCAATGGAGCTGGGATGTAGCTCACTGGTACAGCACTGGCCTAGTATGCCAAGACCCTAGGTTCAATCCCCAGCACCACAAAATAAATAAGATGGTAAATATAAACCCAAATATATCATCAAAACATTTAACATAAGATGAATGAAAAAAGCCCAAACTAGAAAAAGAAAACAAAATATCAGACACATTAAAATAATGGTGGTGACACACCACTACACATCTATGCAAGTTGCTAAAAAAAATTTTTTTAAGCCAACCATCCCAAATGCTGGCAAGGATTCAGAGCAACTAGAACTTATGCATTGCTAGCAGAAATGCAAATGGTAAAGCCATTTTAGAAAACAATTTGGCAGTTTCTTATAAAGTTCAATATATACTTGTCAAACCATCCAACAGTCCCAAATTTTTACTCAGAGAAATTAAAACATATGTCTACACATAAAACCTACTCAGGAATACCACTTCACACAAATTAGGATAGCAACTACCAAAAAATAAAATAAAATAACAAGAGAAATCAGAACCTTTTGCAGTATTTGTGGGAATGAAAATGTCACCAACAACAAAAGCTCAAAACAGATAAAGCAGGGCTGGCAGAGTGGCTCAAGTGGTAGAGTTCCTGCCTAGCAAGTATAAGGCCCTGAGTTCAAACTCTAATACCGCTAAAAAATATATGTAAAGAAAAACTTGGCAAAGTTACATGATGAAAATGACAATTTTACCAACATTACAAAAAAATTTCACACAGTTGTTAGTAATGGGTAGATGAAGCAGACAAAAAAAATAGTTTACATATGTTTACATAGATTTAAATAACACAATTAACAGGCTTAGTTCAATATGCATATATGAAATCCTACACCAATCAGTGAATAGGTTGTTTTTAGCATAGACAGAACAATTACAAAAAAAGATTAAAAAGTTCATGTACGAGCTAAGTTTCCTTAAATTTCTAATTTAGAAACTGATTTAGTTATAAAAACTAACTTTGAAATTTCTGAACTTTTGGAAATTTTAAACACATTTTGAGTTATGAAAGAACTCGAAATGGAAATCAGAAAGCTCACAGAACTAAATGAAAATACGGTAATATTAAAATTAGTATAGTACAACGAAGGTAGTATTCAGAGGAAAATTTGCAACCTTAAGTATACATACAGGACAACAAAAAGCTTGAGAAAATAGTGCTAGAGAAGATGAAAAAACAAATGATCTTACTATTTTCCAACATGGCATAGTCCAATAAAATGAACAGCCACTATTTCTCTATGTGATAACCCCTTAATTAGAGGGCATATAGAAAAGGTACATGGTAGCATCAACACTGAATGTTTATGGAATTGAAATTATCAAAAGAAGATTAAAGATTAGCAGTGGGGGACCAGACATGGTGGTACATGCCTGTAATCCCAGCTACACAGGAGGCTCAGTTAGGAAGGTCACAGTCCGAGGCCACCCCAGGCAAAAAGGGCAAGACCCTATCTGAAAAAAAAAAAAAACAAAAGCAAAAAACACTGGGGAAGTGGTTCAAGTAATAGAGCACTTGCTTAGCAAGCCCTGAGGCTCTGAGTTTAAGCACCAGTACTAACAACAACAAAATTAGTAGTGGTTTTTACATCTATATCATCGTCTATTGCTCATGAACCCATGCAAACTGCCTTTCAGAGAGTGTGATGGAGCACTCTATAGATTCCACCCATTTGACTGCAGTGGACTCCGGAGACTGTGCCCAAACCATCCAATATTTACCAGCCGTCTACCATGAGGAATCCCCCATTACTAGGGGGAATTCAAAGTTAAACAAGGACAGGTCTGGGGAGCACCAAGAGGTAGGTTGCCTGGAGGTCTGGGCACGGAGGTGGTTCTAAGAGATAAGATTGACAAGATCAATGGAGGAGGCTTGCATGACAGGAGAGGAGTGTTAGTGAAGATCTGTGAGCAGGAAAGTAAAAGGCACAGCACACCTGAGAGAAACGGTATCCCAGAAAATCTCACCTTCCTGCGTCCTAAGGTCATCTTCAGCAAAGATGTTGAAGTCCCCACACAGTCCACAGGTCTTGTTGAAGTGTCTGTCTGACAGCAGGACTTGGAAGTTGCCATTGCCATCAATTCTGGCCACAAAGCCATAGGTCTCACTGGACAGCTTATGGTACCCAGCCTCAGTTTCTAGATATAGCCCTTTGGAGGCATAGGGCATAGAGATGCTGGACAGAAAACAACAAGCCCAGGATTGGCTTTGTCCTGAGTTTTCAGGATGTATCTCCAGTGTCCCAACCCCAACCCATGTTACAGGATTTACACCATGGCACAAAATGACTGAGGGTCTAGATCAGTAGTCGGAAGACCTGGGTCTTACCCAGCCCTGTATTGCCTCTTCTAAGTACATTTTCTTCCTCTCTCTGGGCACCACTTTTTACATTTGAAAAATGAGGAGTATGTGTGAGGGCATCCCCAGGGTCCATTCCAGTTGGACGCCCTGGGCTTCTGACTTACCTTTGGTCTCCCTGCATCACAGTACCATTGACAAACAAATGGATGTCAAAAAATTCCCCAAGATACACAGACAGGCTCACTCTCTTGCCATTTTGGAAGTCCCCTGAAAAGAAAAAAAGGGTCAGTGTCCCAAAAAGTTAATAACTTTATTAATAATACCACCTCTATACTCTTATGTCAGTGGGAAACTCCCCTGCAAAGACTTAACAAATGGGCAAAGGAAATCTCCCTAAAAATCTCATTTACTCACACATCTTTCTGTTCATTTAAAAATATTTACTGAGTGCCTTCTGGATGCATAGTCCTCAGTGGACTCATATTTTACAAAAGAAAAATGATCAAACATGATCGCTTCATTCTGGAAGTTTGTAATCCAAGCATAAAGCTAGGAGGCCAGGCACAGTGGCTCACACCTGTAATCCTAGCTACTCAGGAGGCAGACATCAGGAGGATCACAGTTAAAAGCAAGCTCAGGCAAAAAGTTCCTGAGACCCCCATCTCAACCAATAACTGGGCCTTGTGGCATGCAATCTTTCAGTCCAGCTACATGGGAAATACAAATAGGAGGATTGCTATCCAGTCCAGTCCCAGCATGAACACAAGACCCTATTGGAAAATTAACTAAAGCAAAAAGGGTTGGGGGCATGCATGGCTCAAGAGGTAGAGTACCTGCTTACCAAGCACAAGGCCCTGAGTTCAAACTTCAGTACTGTACCCAACCCCCAAAAAAGGTAAGACTAGCATACGATTGACTCCATTGTAAGGCAGCAAAACAAAGCAGCAGCGTGAGCTCTTGGTCACAGAAACTCTAGGTACTAATTCTTGTCTTTGGACAGCCCAGTTCAGAATCCCTGAGCTGTTTGTTTAAATTGGAAATTCCTGAGTTCCACCCCAGTTTAATGTCCTAGATTTTCTGTGAGAAATTTACAGGCAGTGTAGGAACTTGATAAGGATATTGTGTTTGAGTGACCAAACACATGATGAAATAGTCTTTGCCAATGGTCCTCCTGTGAGAGGCAAACGCAGAGACCTGGGTGATGGCAGTGGGCATGAAAGCGGGAAAACTGGCAAGACAGTTTTTGCAGCAGCATCAGATCTGAGCAATCCACAGCCAGTCTGTGAGAATCCTTGCTGTCGGGGTCACTGACAGCGAGATAGGGATAGGATCTCCTCACTCTAAGCCAGGTAAGGAGGAGTTCTACAGGCCACATTCTGCGGAACTCCACTCCACCACTGCAAGCCAAAGAGATTTCATCCTGGATTAAACAAAACTTATACGGGGCTGTGGCTTGGACTGAACTTCTGCACTAGGCCCAACAGACTACACCAAAATGGAGTCACTCGTGTTCCATGTCACCAAGCCAAAACTAAGATGTTTATCTGCTCTTATGAGAAATGGCTGGGGGAGTCAAATCCCCCAAAAGTCAATTGTAGCTACTTTAATCTTCACAAGGAAGGTAACTTTGAAACAACCCATCTATTTTTTGTTTGTTCCCTTCTTTATCTATAAAGCCAACCACCTCTGCTCAGCTCATCAAAGCACTCATTCTATTTTATGGAAAGAAGTTTGCCTTATTCTAGGATAAAAAATAAGGCCAACTAATGTCTCTTAACTCCATTTGTTCTGATTTTGTCCTTTCACTTGTATCCAAGCAAGGGGAGTCTTGCCTGTTCTGCATTTTCACTGGGAATGGTTTTGGCAGTGAGCACATTTTTAGAAGTTGAGCATACTTGGGAGGGAGGCAGTACTGGAGTTTGAACTCAGGGCCTTGAGCTTGCTGGCAAGTGGTCTACTACTTGAGCCATGCCTCCAGCCCTTGAAATTGTACAAACTTTCTGACATCAGGAATGTAGCCAAAGAAAAATAAACAGAACTGGAGAGATAAGTGATAGAGCAAATGGGAATCAGTATGGAGGCTCCTCACAAAACTAAAAATAGAAGTATCATGTAACCCTGCTATACCACTCTTGGGCACACACCTGAAGGAGTGCAAGTCAGCACACAACAGAGACACCTGCACAGCCATGTTTATTACAGCACTATTCACAAATGCCAAAATACTGAATCAGCCTACATGCCCATCAAAAGATGTGTAGAAAAATGTTGTATATGTACACAGTGGAGGTTTAGTCAAAAAGAAGAATAAAATTATGTCATTTGCAGAAAATGGAAATGTTAAGTGAAATAAGCCAGACTGAGAAACACAAGTATTACATGTTCTTTCTCATATGCAGAATCTAGACCAAAACAAAAGCAAACAAACAAAAAAAAACTGACACAAGTGTAAAACACAGGAACTATTTGTGTATGAGAACCAGCAAGAGCGGGGAGAGTGAAAGGAGAGGGTGATGAGGGGTAAATATCATCAAAGATTTCACACATGTATGAAAACAGAATAATGAAATCATTTTTAAAAGGAGGGAGGAGGGATAAGAAAAAGTAATAGAGGGGGTGAACTTGATAAAAGTACATTATATGTACGCGTGTAAATATCACAATGAAACACCTTTGTGCAATTAATATACGATAATAAATTTTTTAATAGAGTACATAGATAAAACATTAATAGTAGAATTTGAGTGGTGTGCATATGAATGTGATATTCTTTCAGCTTTTCATTTGTTTGAAAATGTCCATAAATATGGGTGAAAAAACAGGATGGCCTGGAAACAAGTTCCAGTTTTCAGCCCCTCCCAGGAGTCTGCCCAGCCTCTGGGCATTTGCAGTGGGCCAAGACTGAATCCCTTCTCAGGCCTCTTTTGGGGCTGATGCTCAAAACACTGTACACCTGAGTGAGACAGGGCAGGGATCCACCCAGCCCCTTTCCCTGAAGGTCTGCTGGAGCAGAAGGCTCTGCCTGTGGGAGGATATATAAAAGAGCCAGAAAGGTGTCCATGTACTTTATGAACAGATGACAGGGAAGTTCTGCCCCTCCTTTACTGGGTAACCCAACCCTTAGGACACCTGTGAGCTAAAGGTACCTCCTTCCTAGAAACAGGAAAGGAATCCCCATGGACCTGTCCTTGCAGGTTTTCCCCTCTCAATGGGACTCTGATGGTGGCTGGAACAAGTTAGCCAGAGAGATGGCAGCCAGGTGGGTAGGGAATGCTTGTGAGGAACCAGGCAATTTGAGACATGCCACCCTCTGCCACACAGATCTGGATCTAAAGTTCTTCCAGTCTGTCAAAGATGTAAAAATCACCCAAACAAGTGACCTCTTCCACTGAGGTCAGGGCTGAACAGGTTGGACAGGGATGAACAGGTGCCACAGGGAGCCAGGAGGTCATTATCACCATAAGGTTGAAAAGGAAGGCCTGTGAGACTGGAATTCAGCAGGCCAAGAAAACAGCAGAAGCAGAAAAATCAAATAAGACACATCACAGAGAAATGTGTGGTGGACACAGAAGCCCCAGCTCTTCCCAAGTAAATAGTAAACAACAGACCACATGTAGTAGACGGGGAGGAGGTTGGTTTTATAGACAGAGGAGAGCTGAGAAAAGCAGAAGCAGAGAGTGAAAAGTGAGTGGATTGTGTCAAAGTCACCTTCCTTGTAAAGGTGAATAGAGAGGAGTCTTCTCATCACAAACTTCTCCAGTAAATAAGTAAATAATGAAGGGCGCCTGGCTTTGTGTAGGACTTGGGTCCACCCTTAGGCTGACATTTAGGGTCATTTGCCCTTCATCGTAGACTATTTGAGGGACTTGCTCTGGGTGGCCCCAAGAGAGACCAGCACTAGGAAGTCCAGAAGGCAGCAGTGCTGAGCTGCTCCCAGGCTGAGCCTGGTGTGAGACAACAGTCCATCTATCAGGGGAGGTGGAGCTGGAATTTAGGATTCTGAAGTGGATAGTTTCAGTGTGGTAACCAGCCACCAGCCACCAGCCACCCATCCAGAGATACATCAAAAATAGCAATCCTAGGACAAGGGTGGCACAGTGACCTTCAGTGAGGACAGAAATGCATACAGCTCACGGAGGAGAGAGCTCTGAGTCTGAAATTTGCAGAGAGGTTCTGTGGCAATGGAATGGCAATGGAAAGAATCTTGGGGAGCATCAAAACAAGTAGTGCTTAAACTTTCCCACAAATGACCCAGTCTCACACACACACACACACACACACAAAACTTATTACCATGTGCCATGCCCTTTGAAATTTTCTGATGTTTTCTATTCTGGGTAAATGCTGGTTGGTACCCATGGTTTATGACTCAGTTTGAACAACATTGGCCTACACTGTCTCCCATCAACCCCCTCTTCTGGAGATAGGGTCTTACTATACAGACCAGATTGGCCATAAACTGGCCAACCTCCTGCCTCAGTCTCCTAACGTTTGGGCATGTACCACCATGCCCAAAAGCTAAACTTACTCAATTTTACAGGTGGAAAAACTGAGGCCTAAGTTTATAACAGAATTTCACCATCTCACTGATATAGACATTTGGGGCTACATACATATTTGTTGTAGGGACTCTCCTGTGTGTAGGATAACTGGCTGCATCCTGGCCTCCACCCACTAGATGCTAGTAGAACTCACCCACAGTTGAGACCACCCCCAAAATGTCCCCAGACACGGCCAAATGTCGTCTGGGGGGAAAAAATCATTCCCACTAAGAAGTGTTTTTAACACTGTTTACCTGCAACAGAGCCTATTCCACCCCCAGGTTTTCCAACTCCAAGTCCAAGTCTCCTTCTGCAATGGAGTCTGAAAGCTGGGGATTCAGCAAACCCTTAAGGTAGAGCTCTAAATCACCTTCTGTTTTGTTTGCTTCCTTCCTTCAATGCACATGCTAAGCAGCCATCAGGAAAATGAGCCATCAGAAGTAGCCAGTGACTCCAAGAGGGGACCCCACACTCCATAGACCCCCAAGTGAGCACTTCCTGTAACTGCTAGAAAAGGAGGGACTGTGCATCCCCCCAAGAGGAGATACAAACCATCCAGGCTCTCTCAGGCTCCCACCTCACCTCCAACTCAGTGCATGAGGTGGTGAGTGAAGAGTCAGTCCCCAGCCCCACGAGATGCAAGAGGTGTCCTGCCCCTTCAGAAGCAGGCTGGCAGCTGGAACCACAGTCAGACCTCAGGGCATCAGTATGGAACTCACTAATACGCATTTCTGATGAACACTCCACCCTCCATCTCCATGATTCTGATGCAGGTAAACCTCCCTCCTAACTCAGAAGAACAAGGATTTTGCTAACCCGGAAGCCATGGCTTGCAAGGCGGAAGTGACTCAGCCAGCAGCAGGGTGTCTGTGGCCCTCCCCAGGATCTGGTTTGAGAGCCAGATCCTGTAGGCATGACTTAGGAAGAGGGGTCCCTCCTACACAGCAGAAGGAATCAGGACTCTCTCTCTGGAGCCTGTGCAGACTGTGGGGAAGACATGTAGCCTTGCCTGAGACCCCAGAGCCTGCCTGGCTCAGAGTGGAGATCAAGGAAGGGCCTCCCCATTGCACCAGGTGGGCTTTCATGTACAATAAACACTTTACCCAGGATGTGAACAAGCTCCACAGGCACCCAGAGAGGAATGTGAATTATTTTCAATTTAGAATTAAGGAAACAGGATGTCCTTGGAGAACAATGGAACACAAGGTGAGTACAGGCCTGGAAATGTTTGGGGTTCCTTCCCCTCACCCCAGGACTTTGCCACCCCCACTCCCTGCACCAGGCCAATAACTCCAAGGAAAACTGACATTGAACAAAAGCAAGTTATTATAGGAAAAGAATGACCACCCAGTGGGGAGTCCACAGAGATATTTGGAAATAGGCCCTCCTTGGCTATTCAATTCCCATACCCCACCCCCTACACGTGTGCGCACGCACACACTCTCTCTCTCTCTCTCTCTCTCTCTCTCTCTCTCTCTCTCTCTCTCTCTCTGAAAGCAGGAAACGGGTGGCCAGTGGGCTTCTGGTGCAAGCCTGAGTGGATGGCACTGTGTGGTTACCATCGAGGGTAGCCTGACCTGGGCAGAAGCACACAGAGGCCCAGTTAGCCCATGTCTCTGCAATGTGCACACTCAACAGATGGACATCCTATTTTGACTTGAGTCTTTCATAGCTCGAATTTGAGTAACACTTCCCCACTTTCAAAGAATTGAACTCACCTGAGCCTCACAGAACTTGCACTTTAAACATATGGAAACAGAGACTAAGAAAGTCTCTGCCACTCCCCTCAGGACACCCAGCCACAAGGGAGAATGGAGAGGCTCCCTCTTTGGTTCTTTCTATGCTTCCATTTCCTGGGTCTTTGACAACACCTTCCATGACATCTAAGTGGTAGGGTTCTTGGGGTCTTTGCCTCATCAGTCCTGGAGTGGATCCATATGTTGTTCCCTGTGACCAGCATGTGCCAGGCTCTGTTTGAGAGCTTGGTGAGCTGACTGTGGCCACTGCTATGAGCTCCTGCTGCTCTCTTAAGACTGTCTTTGCCACATTTTCCAACATGACTTCAGCATGTCACCATTCTTCCAGCTCCTCAGGGCCCACAAAGGCAAGAACCATGTCTTTGCTCATCTTTGTTTATTGGTGCTTCCAACACTGACAGAAGATGGTAATCCATGAAGCATGGTGCTCTGTTGTATAATTACATGGGTGGTTCAAGAGCCTTGGGTGAGGAGGCTTTGATGAGTGGAGAGGACAGAGGTGCCCCATGCCGAGGGGACAGCATAAGTAAGGGGAAGAGGCTAGAAGGAGCAAGAGCTCATTACGAAGAGACTGTGGGGAGGCAGGTGGGACTGCACCAATGGTTCTCAACTCCAGCCTGCATCAGGACCCACCTAGAGGGCTGCTGCAGCTAGATTGATGGCCTCCGGTCCCAGAATCCTGACTCAGTGGATCTGGAACGGGGTCCAGGAATTTCACTTCCAACCATTTCCCAGCTGCTGCTGGACTGGGAGCCAAACTTTGAGAAGCCCAGGGCTGGAGCACAGCAAGCCCAGGATAAGGCTGCAGAACAGAGATTTGGAGCCTGATGGTGAATCTGTTCCATTCAGCAGGCAGGGAGGGGTTAAGGAAGAATCTTATGCAACAGGAAAGGGTGGGAGAGAACTAGAGCTTTGCAAAGGGGATGCTGACAGGAAGAGAGGAGGGAGACAGGGTGGTGTTGGCCTTGGAAACAAGGTAGAAGTGAAAAGGGCTAGAGGTGACAAATTGGGAAAGCCATCCTGAACACTGGCTGTGGGATCCCAACTTGCATCAGAAACAGCAAGGGATGGCTTAGGAAAGCAGTTGATGAGAAGAGTTCCCCTGTGTTCTGGGAAGCAGAAGGCTCAGACCTGCCATCCCCAGGTAGCCCTGGTGTTTATTCTAAGTGGATTCTCCTACCTACCAAAGAGGAGATGTTGGTGGGAATGGAGGGTTAGGAGTGACTTAGGAAGATTTTGAGAAGTAGTAGTCACACTTCTCCACCTCTTGGCTTTGGCCTTCAGTGAAGTTTCCAAGGAGATGAAGGTGGGAGGGGGGTTACTATCTTGACTCCATTAACTGTTTTAGCTCTGTTCTTTTATGGATCCCTGCCCAGGAGATGGGGTAGGAAACAGCACATAAGGAAGCCTTAGGACCAGGCACAGAGTTCATATTCTGGTCTCTGAGAGCCAACATGTTGGAAAAGTCCTCTTCTACCACTTGAGCCCAACTCCAGGACCTGGCTGTCTTAAATCCCCACTTTTCCTTGTTGTGTTTGTAGTCAGGCCCTGTCTCTCTATCCCCATTACTGCAGTCCCTCTTGAACACAAGTCTTCCTTACCAGCTTTAACAGGGTCACGAAATTTTTCTCTGACAGTATGGATCTGTCTGTTGCCACCTCAGCATCCCAAGGCAGAGGACCCATCTTTGTTAGGGTTTGTAGCATCCCCTCTCATTCATCCTACAATTGATTAATTCTCAGAGTACAGAGGTCACCAAATCATAATTCTCCCTCACCACCTTCCTCCACTTCCAGCCTTGGTAAGTGACCTTTCTTCCTAGTAACAGAGATAATGTTCTTCAACACGAGAGGCCAGGGGTTGAAATCAGCCTTCCTTTTATTATTAATCCTCCTTGGGAGGATTATGCAGGTCCTTCAGCCTTGATGCTTCATTTGTGCATAGGGTGACTATACCTACATCCTAGGGCTACTGTGGGGATGTAGAGACAACATGGGTACAGCACCATGGATGACACAGAAGATGCTCAGTGTAAGTTAGATATTCTGAATTCCACAGGCCACCAAGAAAACCATCCTTTCTGGTTACAAGGAACTTTCCATATTCCAAAGCTCCTTTTAGATTATTATCTTTCTCTATGCTTTTGAGCTGAGCTCTTGGTTTGTTGCTAGACCCAGAACAATGAATCAACACAGGCACAAAGACCCTTTCCACCACACCAGGCAAGATAAGCCAATGAAACCCAGGTGTTGTTCCCACAAGCCACGCCCCTCCATGTTCTTAGTAGCGATCTCAGAGCTCAGGTATGTGGTGAGTGAGAACTGGAGCACTTCCTTACTGTGCACCAGGGCTAATCCCATCTCTGAATTACTCCCCTCAGTGCCCAGACTCACCAAGAATGGAGAAGGAGCGTTTCTGACAGTCCCCTGCCAGGAGGTAACTGCAGTCTCCTGCAAAGCTGTACATGGTCTCATCAAAGGTGTTGACGAAGTCACCCCCAAAGAGGCTGCATCGAGCCATCGACAGCCTGCCAAGAGCCCTTTCTCTGCACAGGGTCCCTGGAGAGAGAGACCACAGGTGAGCACAAGGGAACCTTCAACCCAGACCTCTCTGGCCTCTTAGAAATGAGGCTGCATCTCCTGGAAATTGGGTTGTGGGGTGGTACTTTCCATCCTAAATGAGGTTTAAGCTATTGCTTTCAGCCTCAAATATGACCCAGGACTCATGGTAATAGCAGAGGAACAGCTTTTCAGGAAATCTAGTCATTTACGACATTACTTAGTGATTTAAAATGCAATTATAGAACACAGAAGAAAACACAAAGAAGTTAAAATCGTCTGTGACCCAACAATTCAGCAATAACTAGAGTTGACATTTCAGTGTTGATCTTCTCATTCTACTTGACGGCTATGTACAGTTGTGAGTTTTTTACAAATTAGTAATCATCCTGTACAAACTATTTATACCCTCTGTTTATTTCTCAAAATACTGTAAAGAATTTAATTTGCCAAGCCATTGTATACAGCTCCAAAATGCGATTCTATCGATTGCATTATATTTGACATCTAGAAGTGTGAGGTATTTAGCCTCTTATAATTAAATTCTTTGTATTTTCTCAGTTTTTTTACCATTGTAAGTAGATTGCAGTAAGCATCTTTATATATAAATCTACTAGTGTATCTTAAACAGACTAAATTTTAAACATATCAGACTGTGTGCCTGTCAGTGTTGTTGTGAAGTATGAACTACTCCTGGTGGCTAACTCCCTCACTAAGTGTGTGCACAAGCAAATGTGTGTGTCTGCACAGGGGTGTGGGGGTGTGGGGGTGTGTGCATGTGTGGGTGTGTTGGCAGGTGGAGAACCATAGCAGTAAATATCTTAAATGGCATACGACCCACCTGGTAAGAAGACGCAGAAAGTGTGACAAATATACATTTCTTTCTTTCTTTCTGTCTTTCTTTCTTTCTTTTTCTCTTCCTTTCTTCCTTCCTTCCTTCCTTTCTTTCTTCCTTCCTTCCTTTCTTCCTTCCTTCCTTCCTTTGTTCCTTCCTTCTTCTTTGTGGTTTGAACTCAGCCTTTCAGTTGCTAGGCAGACACTCTACCACTTGAGCCACACCTCCAGCCCTACAAACATGTATCTCTCCCCAAACTAACTAATGAGCAGCAGATTGCATACTGCTGACCTGAGGAGTATAAATGGAGACAGTTCAAGGTCCTGCCATTCCCAAAATCTCAACAAAGAAAGAAAGGCAGTATACTGCAATGTAATAGAAAGAGAGCTGGCCTAAAACCCAGGAAAACTGCCCTCTGTGACTTTAGAGCAGTCATGTCTCCTCTCCAACCCTCAGTCTCTTTATCTGTACCATAGGAGGTACAGATGAGCCTTCATAAATGACCTCCACAATCCCATTTGTCCTTTGAAATTAATAATCCACATCTTGAATTCCTTCTTCCCCATCCTGTTCTCCCATCATATAGGATAGTTCAGTGCCACCCTTGTTATTCTACCCAATAAGAGAAGCCATTTGCAGGCACCCAGCCTCTGGGGAATACAAGTCAAAGGCAGCGTGCCCTCTAGAACCTTCACAGGAGGCAACAGTGACTCTGAAATTCATGAGCCTAGCATAAAGCACACAGGTGAGCTCAAGACATACCTGCTGACTCCTGAAAGGGCTGACCCAAATAGCTCTGGGGCAGGCTTGAGGGAAGAAAGCAGTTTGGCACCTACCTGGCAAGGTGAGGACCAGAACAAGCAGCACCCTCACAAGTCTGGCAGGAATCATCTGCAGAAAAGCAAAAGAAGTGAGCTGGTTCTTCCTGCTCAGAGAGATGGATGCTGGTATATACTACTGTCAATTCAAAACATAGGAATATTTTTTTCTTTTTCTTTTCAGTCCCTGTATGTTTACTCAATGGAATACCACTACTACCACCACCCCACAAACACACACACACAAAGAACCAAGTATGAATGATACACAGATGATTCTTACAGATATAACATTGAATAAAAGAAGCCAGATCAAAAAAATCATACATCAGGGCACCAGTAGCTAGCACCTGTAATCCTAGCTATGCAGGAGGTGGAGATCAGGAGAATCACAGTTCGAAGTCAGCCCCTGGCAAATAGTCCATGAAAACCTATCTCAAAAAAAAAAAAAACCTTCACAAAAAAGGGCTGATGGAGTGGCTCAAGGTGTAGGCCCTGTGTTCAAACCCCAGTTCTGCAAAAAAATCATACATACTATGTAAGTCTGTTTATAAAAAGCTCAAAAACAGGTGGAACTAGTTGGTGGTAATGGAGGTCAGATATACTAGTTTTTATGGTGGGAGCCAAGGGAAACTTCTGGGGTGGTGATAACACTCTGGATTTGGATCTGGGTGGTGGTTACAGATGTGTAGACATGTATAAAATTCACCGTTTTTCATTTAAGAATTGTGTACATTTTGTGTGTGTGTGTGTGTGTGTGGTACTGGAGTTTTAACTCGGGGCTTTGCACTTGCTAAGCAGGCGCTCTGCCACTTGAGCCACTCTACCTACCCAACAAATAAATTGTTTGGCGCCTACAATCCCAGCCCTGGAAAGCTAAAGCAGGAGGAGCTCAAGTTCAAGACCAACCTGCACCACACAAGGAGACCTCCTCTAAAAAAAACAGAAACAAAAAAAGATTCAGGTTCAGGGCTGGAGGTACAGCTCAGTGGTACAGTGCCTACCCAGCACTCATTTGGCCCTCGGTTCTTCCCCAGCCTCACATACACACACACAAAAAAGCACATTACTATATCTATTTTTATATCTGTGGGGGTTTATTCCCTCTTCCCAAAAACAGCACTGACCTGTGGGTACTTTCATAGTTTGTGATACAGCATGACTTTTCCTGAGGCTCAAGTAGAAGTCCCCCAGGACCAGAGCCTCCCAACATTTTCTTAAAGTAAAGGGAAATATTGATCCGCATTGATCCCATTTCTTCTTTGAACATAGGCTTCTATCCCAGAACTGCCCCTGGCCAGTGCCAGGCCCAAGAATAGCAATCACTGGTAAATTACACCCAGAGGCACCTTCCCCACAGTGGTAGTCCCAAGATAGAGAGCCACTCTTCCAGAGCCTCTCAGCCCCTCCAGGCCAGCCTGGCCTTTCCTGTGTCCATGTTCAGCCTGGCACAGAGGCACCCTCAAGTCCTCCATGCTTGGCAGAAACTGGAGAGTAAGAGCTGGTTTATACTTTTGTTGCTACCATAGGCACCCAGACTTACAGAAGGCTTGGGAACCATAGACTGACTGCTTGTTGGTCACCCACACTGGACTATTGGAGTCTCCAGAGCAAGGGCTGTCGCTCACCTCCATCCCCAGCACTTGCTCTGTAAATGTTTGCTGAGTTGACCTGATAAATGAGCAGGAGTCCAGTAGCCCAGAACCCCAGACAAACTTCCCTACTACATGCCCTGCCCCAGAGAGGGACAATTGATCCTATCTGGCAGAGAACACCCCAAAATCTTCTGCCACATTCCATCTCCTCTGGAAAAGGTTAAATGACATACAAAGGCTGCCACCCAAGGCTCACTGGGGGTAGCTCTTTTCCCACCTAAGGCCCCATCCAGAGAAACAAAGGAGTGATTAAACCCAATTAAATTAAACCCAATCTGTTATTGGGTCTGTGAAAGAAATTCTTTGTTATTAGGTGTAGCCAAGTCCTAGTATCAAAACAGTTATCCTTTTCAACTCTCTCTCAATACACAGGTACACTGGGTGTTTCCCAGAAGGTACCCAAGAAGTGAGAACAAACTCCTTTCAGTCTCATTTGAGTGATGTACTTGCAAGCAGTAAAACCCACCTTGTGAGGAAAAGCAGCCCCAGGACCCCGAGAGGCAAGAGTAGGAGGACATAAGGACTATCTTGGCCTTGAATCACCCCTCTAAACCAAACCCTTCTAGTGCAAGACTGGAGAACCCCAGCCAGTGCCCCAGGGGTAGGGATCATCTCTACATCTTCCTTCCACAACTGTGTCAATTCTCCTTCCAAAAAAACTTACCTTCTCCTGAAAATAAGGGACTGGCATCTCCAAGGTCCACTGGGAAACTCAGTCACTGCTTAATGGTGCCGCCACCAGTTGGCCATCCTCCCAGCACCTGCTCAGGCTGAATGGATCTGCGACAGCTCAGGACTGCCCTGCTATTAAGTAGCCCAGGGGCTGCAAAGTCCCCACAGCAGCAGAGATAAAGCCTAAGTTGTGACATTCACCAACAGCCCCTTTCCCCACCACAATAGCCATGAGCTGCCACAACAGGGCATTGGCCTTCTCTTAATTAACAACGGGAAACAATGGCAGGAAATGGTACTAGAAATACCTCCAGGCTGATAAGACTTTGAACTACTCGGAGGGAGACCTCTTGGCAGCTGACTTAATGAGTGCCTTGCTTCCCCAGACACCCCCCAATCCCACAGTCTGCTTGCCCCCTTGGGACTGCTCAAGTGCCCACACAGACAGCATGATCAGGGATGCTGGTTTCCCCAGGGCAGGCTGATCTAAGGCAGAGAAAGATCCAGGATACATCATCATGGCTTCTGGATCCGGCTTCCAGGGCTGAACTCCGGGGAATTTTGAAAAACACCTCAACCTGAGCCAACTCAGCTATGGAGAGGGAGGAAGGAGCACATTAACATTTCCTGTCCACCCCAGGTATGAATGATCCAGCCCTGGAACTCACAAAAACAGTCTGTTTGGGTCCTGGCCAGTGTCTCATGAACAGGTTAAAGTTAAGGTCCCGGTCATGAAACCCAGGCCTTTGTAAAATGATAGTGGGAAATGATGACTTGATGTGATGACTTGATTCTAATACTCCTTCCAAAGACTCAATCTCTCTCTCTCTCTCCCTCTCTCTCTCTCTCTCTCTCTCTCTCCTCTCTCTCTCTCCCCCCCCCTCAGGGCTAGGGAAGGAACTCAGTGCCTTGTGCATGCTGTGCAAGTGCTATACCACTGAGCTACACCCCAGTCCTCCAAACGTTCTACCACCCACTTCTGGTAGCCTGATTCCCTAATGTTACACACACGCACACACACACTCCAATCCTTTTTCCCAACCTCCCATTTCCCGAAGCCTAATTTTTAACATTATTTGCCATACTAATTCCTGCTAAAATAGATAGCTGACAAAATGGTAGGAGGGGGCAAGGCAGGAAGTGATCCTCTCAGTGGGATTCTTGGCACAGAGCTAGGCAGCTAAAACACACAGCATTTAGGAATAGAAGCCACTTCATGACTTCCCACCTGATACCTCCTGCCCTAAGACTGATAAATCACTATGCTCCCAGCCCTTCCCTTCCCCCAAACACCTCACACTCCCCCACTCCCTTTACTACCCCAGGAAAGGAAGAGGAATGTGGCCAAGACAGAAAAACCCTAAATGAAGCAGGACTAGCACAATATAGTAGAAAATGCACTTAAGGATTCCCATTTCTACCTTTTTTAAGTTAATAACCTAAAAATCATCCCATTTAAATATATCTTGAAATGCTGTATTAAATATAACAATGATTTTTAAAAATGCACTGCTGACTTTGGAGGACAGTGAGGAATCTCCAAGTATCAGTGAAGGACCCCAATGAGCATGGAAAGGTTTAGATCTTCAGAGCTTGGCCAGTGTGGGGACTCTTTAGACTTGAGGCTGGACACTGCAGGGACATCAGGTTTTGGGCCTGACCAGCCAGAGAACCACTGAGACTCAGCATTAAACTAAAATCCTTGAAAGGAAATATCTTCCAAAGGGTAGACTAGGAAAAAAAATTCTCTATTCATAACAGAAGATAAGAACTTTATCTGTCTCTTTCCATCTGTTTCCGAGTGGGAAAATTAAGTCTTTCTGTAGAATTTGTAGCCATGGGTTTAAATTCATGCTCGTTAAAGGGTTAAAATTACATTACCCCACAGTCCAGGAAGCCCCAAGCTGAAAAAGTTACACAGACATTAGTCTTGTCTCTGGGGTTCCTGGAAGAAACAGACACAAATCTCACTTAAATAAATAAATAAATAAATAAACCTTCTCAGGTCACATGTGATACCCACAGATGAAGCTCTCTTGAGGATGAATTCAATATCACAAATTCTAAAACACTTTAGGAAACACTCCACCGTGAACAAGAATAAGCAGTCTGGATAGAAAGCAGGAGAATGTAGAACTTCAGATAATAAAATGATCAGAGAAAAAAATGCGCCTTTAAAATAAACCAAAGAGCAAATGTTGAAAGCATCAAGAAATAAGACATGAGAAAAGAACAGAAAGACCTAGAAAATAATTTTTAGAACTGAAACATATACAGCAAATTAATTGAAAAACTCATTAAAAATATTTGTAGAGAAAAGTTTGTTGGAAAATAACTCCAAGGGAATTACTCCAGTAAGTAGGAGATGGGAGAAAGACAGTGGGAGAAGATCCGAAGAGAAGGGCTAAAAGTAAAACCGAGAGTAAAATCCTGCACTCGGCCCCTTGTCTACAGCCCCCGGCAGCAGATCCTGAGTGTTTTACTGCAGATAATTAGTGGGGAGGGCAGGAAACAGCAGCAAGGACAGGGAAGTGCGATATGAAGAAAGGAAGGTTGCCAAGAAAAGATGTTTATTAAGCCAGCTATGAAGGGGCAGCTGAAGCTGAATCCTGTGAGGAGAGGTTGGGAGAGTTAAGACACAGCCTCAGAACTGTCCTGTCTTAGGATCAGAGAACAGTTGTTGCCAAGGGCTGCTTCTGGGAACATTAGCCCCTCAATACTTCTGGCTATGGGGCACAGAGGTGGATCACTGGCAGTGTGGAGGAAACAGAGAGTTGAAGTCAGAGGGCTGTGGGAAGGGGCTGTAGCATCTAGTGTACCTAGTTAAATCATTAGTCAAAGTTAGGGAATGTAGAGCCTTTTCTCCCAGAAAGCAATAGGTTTAACATAAACATCCCTTTTCCGAAAAAACTACTTAAGAAAGTACTTCAGGAAGAAGGATATCAAACCCAGAAAGAAGATGCCAGAAGAAAATGTAACAGAAGCTGGCAGAGTAGCTCAAGTGGTACAGCACCTGCCTAGAAAAAGTCAACAAAGAAATTGATAACTATGGGATAAATAAGAACAGACAATGATCTCGTAAAACAGTAACAGTGACAATAAATTAGAGAGTTAAAAAAAGTAAGATGGAACCAAAATACCAGTAAGTGCTAAGGTCCTTGCATCCCACAAAAGAAAGAGGCAGGTAATAACTCTGTTAGGCAAGCTGCATGGTAAAATTTTAAGAGAGACTACTAAAAGGATTCATTGAATAGTATGTTGTCTGAACCCGTAGGGGAAAAATAGGAAATAAGGAAAATTGATTGATCTAGGAGAAAAATGGAAAAAGCAAGATAGATAGTATAAAATAAGATAGTTTATACAAAAAAAAAATCAATAATCCAAAACAAAAGACAGAGATTACCAGATTGAATTTCTTTTAAAAGATACACAATCTAGCAGTGCTCAAGAAACATGTCTAAAATATAAAAACTTCATGAGAAAGAAAGTAAAAGACAAATTGTAACCAAGAGAAAGCTGATGATGCTACTATCAGATAAAGTGAACTTTAAAATAAAAGTCATTATTAGCAATAAAGAAGATAAAAAGGTGATAAAGGCTCAATGTACCAAATTATGCAATCTTAATATATAAGCTTACAATTTACTTTCTTATTTTTGTTCATTTACTTTTTTTTTGTCAGTACTGGGAATTGAACTCAGAACCTCATACTTGCTAAGAAAGTGCTCTGTGACTTAAACCACACTCCCAGCCCTTTTCTGCTTTAGTTATTTTTCATATAAGGTCTCATGCTTATTGCATAGGCTAGCATCAGACCAGGATCCTCCTACCTATGCCTTCCACATAGCTGAGATTACAGGTGTATGCCACTATATCTGGCCCCTATAATTCATTTGTTAAAAATGATTGAGTTGGGGCTAGGATTGTAGGTCAGTGATAGAGCACTTGCCTAGCACATACAAGGCTCTGGGCACCTCAAAAATAAATAAATAAATAAATAAGATAAAAATAAATATAAATATAAAATATATTGAATTATAAAGCAAAACAGAGAAGGCTTAGTCAATGATGCTTATTTACAGCAAACAAAAACATTTTAACAACTTAACAGAAAGAAGGCTGAGAAACAGAGCAAACAACAATTCAGACAAAATATAAGCCACTTTCCCTTCCAGACCCAGGACTTTAAAAAAGATGTTCAGTGTGCCTAATGTCACCACTGTGTCCAGATGCCCAGGCCATCACAGCAAAAGAAGAGGAATCATAAAACTATGACATCGAAAGGAAAAAAGCAAAATAATTATTATTCAGACACATGAATAGAAAACACTGCGCAAGAGAATCTAGTGTAGCAATCTAATGTAGCAGTTTACCACAGCAGGATTCATTTTTTTCTTTTTTTATTAAGGTATATTCATTGTGACAATTCCAAATAAGCCTATTTGGTTATTTGGTTATAAGCCTACATTGGTTAGATCACCCACCATCTCTCCCCTCAACCCCTCCCCACCCTACTTAAACCAATTGCAAGAGGTTTCATCATTCTATTCATATAAATATATGAAGCCTATCAACCATATTCCCTCACCTTCATCTCATTCACCCTCCCCTTTCTCACAAGTACCACACACACACACACACACACACAAACACACACTGTGCCAATTTTATAGTCCTGTCTTTTGTTATTAATCTATTATGCTCTTATAAAATTATAAAATGCAATCTTTTTTTTTTTCATTTTTCTTTTATTATTCATATGTGCATACAAGGCTTGGTTTATTTCTCCCCCCTGCCCCCACCCCCTCCCTTACCACCCACTCCACCCCCTCCCGCTCCCCCCCTCAATACCCAGCAGAAACTATTTTGCCCTTATCTCTAATTTTGTTGTAGAGAGAGTATAAGCAATAATAGGAAGGAACAAGGGGTTTTGCTGGTTGAGATAAGGATAGCTATACAGGGCATTGACTCACATTGATTTCCTGTGCGTGGGTGTTACCTTCTAGGTTAATTCTTTTTAATCTAACCTTTTCTCTAGTTCCTGGTCTCCTTTTCCTATTGGCCTCAGTTGCTTTAAGGTATCTGCTTTAGTTTCTCTGCATTAAGGGCAACAAATGCTAGCTAGTTTTTTAGGTGTCTTACCTATCCTCACCCCTCCCTTGTGTGCTCTCGCTTTTATCATGTGCTCATAGTCCAATCCCCTTGTTGTGTTTGCCCTTGATCTAATGTCCACATATGAGGGAGAACATACGATTTTTGGTCTTTTGGCCAGGCTAACCTCACTCAGAATGATGTTCTCCAATTCCATCCATTTACCAGCGAATGATAACATTTCGTTCTTCTTCATGGCTGCATAAAATTCCATTGTGTA